GAGATAAGCTGTTAACGTCCATGTTAACAGACACAAACTGGAACACAGGAGGTTCCACTTAAATTTGAGAAGAAACAACTTCTCAGTGAGAGTAACAGAGCACTGGAACAGGCTACCCAGAGAGGTTGTGGAGTCTCCTTCTCTGGAGACATTCAAAACCCGCCTGGACGGCTTCCTGTGTAACCTCATCTAGGTGTTCCTGCTCCGGCAGGGGGATTGGACTAGATGATCTTTTGAGGTCCCTTCCAATCCCTAACGTTCTGTGATTCTGTGATAAGCTGGGGTTGGGGAGATGTGGGAGTAAAAGGAAATATTGCAAGAGGGGAATGCTCATCCTGATAAGCAGTGCATTCTTCAGTGTAATCAATGACAAGACTTGTTGACAAAAGTGCTAAGGAAGTGTCTGAAGGACATAATCTTATGGGAAACTTGCCAAGTGCGGTGGGCAGAAGGGTCAAGGGCATGCAAGCTTGGATGTCACACCAGCAGATGTCATGGCAAGCATTGGCAATCAAGGAAAAGTGGGCCACGAGATGGTGCATATGGGAAATGGTGGAGGCAGGTGAGGATGAACCATACAGGACTTAAAAGCAGAGAAAAAGCAGTGATACCATAACTATCCAGTAGACAAACTTCAGAAACACAGAACATTCAGAGTGAAGATTAGATTGAAAGCCAATCCAATCGTGCTGAGATACGGGAATGCATCCAGCCAATTTTCATTTTGCCCTATTCATGCAAAGCAATAGCTTAAGAATTGCAGCTAGTGAATAATAGTATTGATAGTGCCAGATTAAATTAAACTGGGGTTTTTTTTCCCTTGGGATGACCACGGTCCCTGAACAGAACTTGGCTTCCTTCTGTTTGGCAACAGGCAGGAGTTGTTTATTTAGGAATACAACAGTTTACTTATGGCAGGCTGATGTCCCACTGCAGTTGCAGGCAATGGGAAATTGCTGCTGCTGTAAGTGTCTCCATTCAAGTGTCTGCAAAGGTCTTATGTTCTACTATGTAGGTGGTTTGGGAGAAAACTTTGTTTAATAAGGGTTATCAGATTTGTCAGAGGATTTATTCTCTAAATTAATTTTTCCTCAGAAATTAGTTAACTTTTCAGAGTTGTAATTTGTGTGAGGACACACTAAATGTTCCACATGTTTTTAATCCCCTTTAAATAAAATTAAATTCTGCTTTGGTTCTGGACCTACAGCTAATGCTTCCATGGTAACAAGGAGAAATACCCTACAAGTTGCTATCATTTGACCTTTTAGATACAAAATTTGCATAACAAGATAATTTTTCTCTTATTTTATAGATCTTTTAAGTATAAATAAAAATGAAGCAGAGGATAAATTTAGTCTGGAATTCATAAAAGAGAACTCTACATCTACATAGAGACATCTGCAGTATCTTCAGTTTAGGAAGAACTTAAATCAGTTAGTTTAAAAACACAGAACATGTTCATTCCACATTTTTTATCACTTTAGAATGACAAAAAAAAGAGCTGTAAAATTCAGTCCTTAAATACTGGAAGTGTATAGACTACCACTGCAAATGTAAAGCCTTTAATTTGGGAAAGAGGCAACACAGTATGTAAATCGTACTTTAGTTCATTTCTAAAGACTTGGATTCAAATCCTGGGCTGAACTCAAGAGAAAATGAGACTGATGGTTTCAATTTAGTCTCTAATCTGTCAAACCCTATTACAAAACCACAAAATAATCCAACACAGTCAGCAGCCTTCTGGATGTTGAACAAGACTGACAAGCTTGTTGGGGGCAATGCTGATGAGGTACCATCTTCTGTGGAGCTTCTTTTGCTTCTGGAAAATTTGGCTGTGTGCTCTTTGAGGTTATTCACCCCTCAGCAAACACATCAGATGACAAAAAAAAAAGCAGTAAAAGCAGTGACAGACAGTGACTGATTGGAAAATGAAAAGAAAAATATGGAAGCTAAGTGTGAACTGGGGATGGTGATTATACAGAGGGAAATGTGGCAGGTGAGAGAGGTCGAGGTCATAAGCAGAGGAGCCCTGGCGCTTTCTGGGGCAGCAAACAGGGTGGGTCCTCATCTGCTTCTCCGATCGGCATACCTCCAGGGTCCCAAATGGTGGAACTGGGGCAAAAATGTACCAGAAAATGATGGCTCTCCCTCAGAACTTCTATAAACAGTGTACCTGTGTTTTGAGCATCTTTCTCACTCTCTGAAAAGTTAATGAGCTTCTATTACTGGTTTCATAGGTACATAGAATAACAGAGGGAGTTAAACCCCAATCTGAACCCCAATCCGAACTCTTATTCTGCATAGCTGTTTCACATGAGATCCAACGCTAATATGAACAGAGGGTGATCTGAGCTATACGTTGTGTAGTTTATTAACATATAAAATATGAATAAAATACATATTCATAGATACTGTGTAGTTATATATAAAAACATAAAGATGGTTTTATAGAACTAATGAAATAAATTATGCTTTTGAGCTTTCATAAAGGGTTGCTCACACACCACTGTATAAGTAATTACGTATTCACCTCTTTGCCAAACTGCCCATTTATTTGTCTTGACAACCTAAATGGAAACTCCATCAGATGTAAATATTCTGTTAGACAGCAGAAGGACATACAAACACTAAATGATAATGGTATTGTATCTGTTCTGTGTTTATTTTAACAGGGAGCTTTCATTATGCAAGAGATTACTAATTACATACCCCACTATCAAGTATATAGTTACATATAACTTAGCACCTGAGAAGCAAGGCTCATAAAAGATTTTTGAAAGCTTGTATGCAGTTGCAATAACAAGCTCAGGAGGATCTATTTGTCTGTTTGTTTCTTAAGACTTGAAGGGTTATGTATAAATTTGAATTAAGTTTTAGTGTGAATATTTATTTTTAGTGTATTTACTTGACTGCCTGCAGATAATAGGAGTTTCGTGGCAGATTGATTGACAGATAAAGAATACTTCATTTCTGTTCAGCAAATGAAGAAAACTCTGAAAAGCAAGAGGCAAAATAAACAAATCATTCTTAAAATTCTGATGTTAGCGATGCCTGTGAGCATGAAGGATAAAATCAGTGAACAAAAGCCATTTCTCAGTCAGTTATAAATGTACAAATAGTGTTTTTCAAATAGAAACAAAATATAAAACTGTTTCATTAATTTCTGCAAGTTATAAAATATTTTATGTGTAAATAATTCTGCCTTTTCAGAGGCAGCAGCTACATATATCGTGCACTGTGTATATAGTGCATTAACGGAGCAAGGGGGCTTGTGACAAAAATCTATTTAATTTCTGTGATACATTATCAGCACTTCAGAATCTTTGTGTTGCTTTGACCTTTCTTTGGAAGAAAAGCACTTCAACAGCAATTCGTTTATTTCAGAAGTTGAAACAGTCTTTACATTTTAATAGTGTGTTTATTTCTTTAAGACATATTTAGACATTGTTAATAAACAGAGCTGTTGTCATTCAACTGTAGACCAGGAAGTCTCTATATAGAAATCAGAATTCAAGTACTCAGATTTTTTTCTAACGATGTGTAGGCACCTGTAGAAACATAGTCACAAATTACATTCCTAAATATAAATTAATTACTGAGTTATTCTTAACCAACCATACTTGAAAACCATCGACATAAGAATTTCGGTTATGTCTTTTTTTGCATTGGTAAATGAAGGAAGAGTTATAGAATCTGACAAAAGATGTTATTTTGTACTTTGCTCATAAAATCCCACAGACAAAAGATATATTGGGCAGTTTTCATTTCTTGCCACATCTTTCTTTTCATTAAAAATCTAATTATTCACTTGTGTGGCACTACCATGACCTTTTTACATGCAGAAGAGGTGACTGCTGGTGCGGTATGAAGGGCATAGATGACTCTGAAAAGGTCAATGCAATTTGGCATTATTTTATCTTTTTTTAAGTCGTTGAACTGCGGTAAAAATGCAGAATTATTCTAATTAGTCACTTCTTATTTCAACTTTCACTTTTAATGCGACCAAGATTTCCCCCCCAAAAAAGTGTTTTAGCTAATTATTGCTTTTATCAGTATTTGTTGTAATATGAACAATTCAATAATATGCCAAGTTCTCACTTTGCACTGAGACCAGGCAGATCTTCTTGAGAGGCTTCCAGTATCTGCTTCAGCCACATAGATTTTGCAGACCTTTGCCATCCTCTCAGACACAGAAGAGGGCAAAGTAGGATGGGAGAAAGAAGAAAACCTGTGCTGTAACCCCCATGTGCGCCTCACAGACAGCTTCTTCCAGGCTGATACACCTGGAGAGTCGTGGTAGTCAGGGCACACCAGGGCAGATGCGTGGCTTCATTTGGTGCTGCTGAGGGGGTATATGCAAAAATGCGACAGGAAAAGCAGACATGTTGGGTTTGAGGACAGCCTCAGGACCCTGAGACTGCTGTGTCACAAGAGCTAGTTGCCTATGGAGCTATTTGTTACGCTATTCAAATTAAATATGGCAAATACAGCCTTTTCACTTGTACAGTTCAGGCCCAAAGTTTACTGTATGGCAATGCATCGCAGTTTTACACATAAACACCTCTTCTGGCAAAAATTCAGGCATGGAGACCTGATGTGTTTCACAGCTTGAACCTCTTATGCCAATAAAATACCCATAGCAATATTTGATATATTACAAAAGTTATTTGTATTCACAGTTATGTATGTGTATGTGCATAATGACAGTACTTAAAACCAGAAATAAACACCCAAGGATATGATAAACACCTTTTCTATGCAAACACGGTTTTACAATGACCTGAAATGTGTTTGTAGGGAAGCAGGTATGAGATTAGGATGCAATCATCACTGGGGGTGGGCCAAAAAAGATGAAAGATGACCACCCATTTTTTATTTTTATTTTGTTTCAGGCATTGTTGTGTCATTAGATAATGCACAGCTCACTCTGAGCTCTGATGGTACGAGCAGGACAGCTGCCCTTGCAAACCCGATGTAACATCACCTCCTTTTGCCCACAGCATAGCTGCCAGTCGGATGGAAACTCCATCTACTTCCATGGGACTGAAGGCAGTGAGTTCAATTTTGCCACAACCCGGGATGTGGACCTCTCCACGGAGGATGCCCAGGAGCAGTGGGCAGAGGAGTTTGAGAGCCAGCCCAAAGGGTGAGTTCCCGTCACCTGCACAGGGCCTTAAGCAGGTGCACAGCATCGCTCCAGGGATGAGAAAACTGGAGACATGGAGAATTGCATTTTATCTTTGCTGTATACTCAGGGAAGATTGTGACTAGAATAAATAGCAATACGGTAAATAACTGGTGATCATGGATTTTAGGAAGGAACATGTCTGGAAAGCCCAGGAGGAGCAGTCTGTCTCCAGATCATTCTGTCACTAAAGCTTTTAGTGAAAAAACTTGTGCTTGTAAATTATATGGTGGTGAAAAACATGTGATGTTGATCTGCTTTTTCATTCTGTCACATCTGAATATTTTCAACAAACTCATATCCACAAGAAATCTAATTATTTGAGAAATTAATCCCCTTTTGGATCCCTGCTGTGAGCCACACTTTGCCATGAGAGAGGTCCTGCTCATGCAGAAGCCTGCAGGTGCCAAAGGAGGAGAAGGTGGAGGCAGGACAGCTGAAGCAGCAGCCTGCTCTCACCTTCCAGTACCGAAAGCATGGCCATGCCTACCATGCCAGAACTGAAGATCTGGCTGATAATTTACTGTTTTTCCTTTAAATATATACATTGGGATTCAAAGAGTACCTGTAAAGCAATATCCAGCAGAGACTGCAGCAAAGGCACAGGAGGTAAAGAATCCATCTAGGACAGTAAAATTACTGCTCTTAATAAAACATGAGTGAACTTTAAAAAAACCCCTACTATCCTGGTAAAGAAGTATTGTTTTATGTACCTCAGTGTATAAATTCTGACAAAAAGAAAATAACCAACAATGTGGTCTTGACTCTTTTTTATTTAAAGAAAAGAAGTATTTCATTAGTTGCAGTAACCCTAGGGCAATGAGAAAAATACACTGTTAATTTATGGGTCTCTACTGAATGTTGATTTTAACCTACTAAGCACTTCAGGTCATTAGCAGCTGATTCAAATGCTGCCTATGCTGTCCTGAACTTAAAGAGCACCCTTCAAGAAACACATGCTAATGTGTGCCATTGACACATGGGTTATTTGGGTCTTACAGAAAAAATACTCACTCTGAACTCTGTCCCAGTTTGAATAATCAGCCCATGGCACAGCGAGTGCTCTTTCAGACTCAGGACAGTAAATGAGTAGGTGTGTGTTGTGTTCTAGGTGGCCATGTGGTATACATTTGAGATGTTATCCAAGTCTCTTTTCCATCTTGAAAAACAGGCTGAGTGTGTTACCTGGAGATATCTGCCCTGTGTCTAGATCCTGTCTCTGCTGGACCAGGTGTTTAGCTGAGCTAAATCAGGCCAGATCCCTCATCATCAGCTGTTCTAATCAAGACACTTCCTTCTTGGATAATAAGTAACTTTTAAAAATTAATTACAGTAATAAATGCTGCAGTGAGTAGTAATACAGAAATAAATTTCTTGCGCCATACTCTGGTTAGCAAATGCACAATTTCTTTGGAATCAGGAATATTACATTTCCACTGTCACACAGCACCCAACTCCATCCTACAGGTGCCATCACTTCCAGCCAGCAGCAGGGCAGGGTGCCCCTGGCAGATGCATTCTGCACTCGCATCTTGCTTGCCGACCCGGGAACCAGGTCCTGATCTGCCGTCCTTGCATGTAAAATCTTGGTGGTGCAGCAGCCTGCCCTGGCAGGGGGTAACTTTGTTTTCCAAGGCACTAAGCAGCCAGACCAAGTCCTCAAAGTTTTTCCTTTTTAAACTTCTTTTTTACTTTTCAAATTTTATTCTCTGTTAGGAACTTACTTCTTTGAATTGTTGCTGTAAGAATGGAGGTTTAAATTACATGCAGCCATGAATACCCGTTGAACTTGGGTGATGTTATGGACTACATCCCCATCACATAAAATTGTCAACACCTCTGCCCCTCTTTGCAACATTTCTGTAGGGCTTTGCTTTGGGAATTGTACACAACTGCCAATAGACAACCTTCCTTAATTCCTTCTCAGAGAAATGTTTTTTGAATGTTATTTGAACTATATTTGAAATATTGTTTTGCGGTATTCAGATAGTCACAGAAACACTTAATACCTGAGACAGAGCTGAGGCTGCCCTTTGTAACATCAGCTGGGACCTGACAGCTCTCAAAGCAAAGACAGAATCATCCCTTGTAAGGGAGAGCAAAAGGAAGCTTACGTGAAAGGGTCACCAGCACCTTCCTCTGCACCAAATGCTCTTGGGAGTGAGACATCTGAAAGAGCTCAGTGGTGAGGGTAGAGGAGCTTATTGCTTAATATTTTTTTCATGTCCCACCTAGAGCAGTAGGGTACATGATCAGGTGTTGCTGTTGTTCGTACCACAGGTTTTTTCTACTGTCATTCTGTTTCTCTTTAATTCCATAAATTAGGACCTAAAAGTGATCAGATCCTCACATCAGGCTGCCTCTCGCCTCTAGCAGATATACTGCAGCTTTGGACCTCTGTGTCCAGTAGATCTAATTCAGTTCCATATATCATTCTGTTGTCTCTCTTGTAAAGAAGAATTTCAAGAGTCATGTGAACGATAGATGACTCCAAATGCAATATTTAATCAAGAATGTCTATGTCTCTGTCATGCCATCACCCAGGTTCCTTCTTCATTTATCCTTATAGGCAGTGTTTTCATTTTGTTTTTTTTTTAAATGCCAGTCTTTTTAATGTTGAAGATCTTTCTGGTTTTCATTTCTAATGCTGCCTAAAAGGAGAGGATCCCTGGAAACATCCATGATCTGCATCATTCATGACCCTGGTTTGTTTTGTGGGTCACTGCAGAGAGTGTTTTAATTGAGCTAAATAGAGCATACAAAAGATCAATGGAGCATTGTGAGATTTTGTTGTGTAAGTTAAAGTAGGCACAAGTGTTTAATTTGGTGCTTGCCTTCAGCCCAAGAGACCAATTTTCAAAATTGTATTTTGATTATATTGCACATTATATCTTAAAAGTCTGCACAACTAAAATACTTTCCTCAGAATCAGAGTTAGGTTAAACTGTGCTTCAATTAACATATTTATATCAAAAAAGCTTTTCAGTGATGCTAAGCTCGCTAATTCCTGTGGAAATGACTGACAGTTTCAAAGCAAGATTTCCAAATAGACACGTTGCTGGTCTGTCGCAGCCTAGGTCAGTAGGGAAACTGGCAGCTTTTGGGACAATCCTAGAAATACATTTTTAAATAGTTGGAATGGTTAAACTGATAAATAGACTTTTAAGTTGTTGAAATGAAAGTTTTTAGAATTCTCCTATGGTACATGACTGCTAGAGGTTGTTTCTGCTGGAAATGGACTGGAAGAGGCTCTGCCGCCCCACAAAAGTTTCTGAAATTTAATGTTTTCTCATTCATCCTGAATCACACTGGCTAGTTAAATGGTTGGATTATCAGGATTTAGTGGTTCTAAATAATTTCTTTGCTTTATCAGCCTTATAATTTTTAAATACTTTATTGTGAATTAAGACTTCAACATGAATAATAACATATCAGAGCAAAATAATGTACAAGTTTTCAACGGTTTCTAATCTTCCAAAATATTTTGAGTTTTGAAGAAACCAGTGCTCTCATGATGAAAACATATTTTCAGTGAAAATATTTAATTGAAAAATTCTACAACAGCTTTTTTAATTATCACAGAATAAAAGAAAATGCTGTACAGAAAAACTGAGAAAGATAATATCACATACTAGAAACACAGCAGTCTTTCTTCATACGCAGTTCATGTGTTAGTTAAAAACTGTTACCCTAAATGCTCAAAAAGATGAAAAGAGCACTTTCAGCTATTACCTACATATTTAATGACTGCATAGCAGATATGGTGGACATGTGCCTTTTCAAGTTTCATTGATCTATTAATCTTATATTATACTAAAAGAAAGAGAATGCAATTATATTTTAAACATTTTTATGCCAGAAAAATAGTGAAGATGACAGAACAATACAACACTAAATATTTGGTAATAGCAGTCATTAAAAGCCTCATTTATTTTAGAAATTCATGTTTTTCTGCCAATTTCTTTATTAATAATATTTACATTTATTTTGCTTTATATGAATTAACTCAGTTTAAAAACTAGTATTGAACATGTCATAGGAATAATATTTGAAAAACTGCATTTAGTTGTCCTCTTTAAGAGTAGCAGCAGCTACTTTTCTATGTACAAATGAACTTCTAGAACATGCTTTGTATGACTTTATCAATAACGTGCCTCTGCATATTCTCCATCCACTGTTGACCTCTCCAGGTGGGACATATTTGGAGCCGTCATTGGTACTGAATGTGGGACACTGGAATCTGGCTCAGCTATGGTATTTCTCAGAGATGGAGAAAGAAAAATATGTACTCCATACATGGACACTACGGGTTATGGGAACTTGAGATTTTATTTCAGCATGGGTGAGTGTATATACCTAATGTAATGCAACACATGAAGCATGTGAGATTTAAATTGTGCAGTGTGCACAGAACTATTTTAGATACTCCTCAGAAGAGGATAGCTCTGATTCATGACTGTGATGCCTGTCAGGATGTAAGATTGACCATTCTTGGCCAGATGAGAGTTCACCCTTCTGGATGCCCATATGGATGGTGGGCACATAAATAACATCTAAAAAATTTTCTCCTGGATGACACTGACTTGCAGATGAATACCTTTCAAAACAGACACAGCGCTCTGGGTTTAGTAACACTTGGTAGCCCTTGGTGGGCTATTCTTCCATGAATTTATCCAGCTTTATTTGGGGGGCTGATATCAGCATTTGTCTCCAAGTTAAAACAGTTTAATACAGAAGTTACATGAAGGTGTGTCCATGTAAAGTCAGTGCCTAAACTTCCTTTAACTTATAGTTAGAGGAGATGAGGTCAGTACCATTGCCAGGAAAAACCATTTGACTCACCATGAGACAGCCGTGCTATACCAGCTGAGCAGCTCCCTGCACTCCACTGACTGCATGGGTTGGATCTCCCCTGATATAAAGAAAACTTAAGCACCTGGTGCACACATAGGTCTGTGTTCACTCTTGTTCAGTCCTCAGGGAGGATTTGTTACACAAGCACAGGTTGTTGTTGCCACTTGAGTTGTCCAAGCATATCTGAGACATCAGCACAAAGCTAGCAGATTTACCCCAGGACTTGGGGGATAGTCACAGCCAGCTGGAGTAGCAGGTAGGTGAGGCAGGCCTCTCCACAGAGCCTAAAATGATCCTTGGTACTAGTGTTTAATCAACTGAACCTGCCTGCTGTGCCCACAAGGTCCTGTAACAGCTCCATAGTTTAACAGTTCTTTACGTGAAGAAGCATCTTCTTGTCTTGTATCTTCCAGTTTCACTCAATGCCCTTTACTCCATTATTAGATGAGACAGTAATATCTTTGTCTTTACAATACCTTTATAGGTACCTGTCATATCCTCCCACAGTCACATCCATGTGTGGCCTACATGTGGGCCTAGTGAAAAGCCCTGATGTAGTGTTAGCATCATCTGTGGATCTTCCCTGCTGGGACAAAGTGCAACCTCAATGATTTACAAGGGCTAAGAAAGCAGCTAAGAACAAACCTGTCCTGCAACTTGCCCTCCCCACTGTTGTTGTCAGTGCAACTGCAATAGTTTGGTGTTGCAACAGACCAAAACCCCTACGAACATGGTGGTTATGATTCAGTACCTCACAGTGTTTTTCCAGAACTTTTATTTTGCACAGAAAGGAAGTTGCATGAGGTTATTCTCTCAACACCAGGTTTAGAGGAGATGAGGGTTTTTGCTTAAAAGTAGAGAATAATAGAATAATAAAGGAGGAAGCAGAGACAAAACTTGTGACCTCCACAAGCAACCTTCTGAATCAACAAGAAAAAAAACCCCTTGATTTAATGAGTGAGAGACCTCATGTTGTTGTCCTAAATTGTCGCACATCTCCTCTGTGTTACATGAGTTAGTAATAAAGCACAGGAAAAAGTGGATGCTTTTTCCCAGTTCTTCCAAGCATTACAACACCTGCAAGAGAAACAGGAAAGAAGTTAGCTCAACCTTCTGAACTTAGGGGAGAAGTTGTCAGCACATGTGGGCATAGAGGACAGTAGGATATCATTTGAAAAATATACTCTGTATGCACTTGTAAATTAAATAAATAACAGCTTAAACATTCAGGCAGAGGATCTGAAAGGACACATGGATGTTCCTTATTACAGTATAATACACATCAAAGATGCACATTGTATCTCACTCTCTGGGCTGCTTTGCCTAATCCATTCCAAGAACTGGCCATCTGTAGTGAAAATAGCAGAGAAAGTGTTTCATATGTGCAACCTTTCTACTTTACAGACTTTTCAAAGAAGCTTCTTCATACTGTTATTTTCTGGTTTGGTTTGGTTTGGTTTGGTTTGGTTTCGTTTGGTTTGGTTTCGTTTGGTTTGGTTTTTTAAAATATCTGCAATACCCATAGCATACTGGGAAATTATGTTTCTTGTTTCAATTACAGATACTTGGTTTTAAAAACATTTTTCCAGAATGCCAAAGTAGTGTGATGATGTCCACCTTGTAACTATAATGCAGAGCATAATGCTCAAATTTTTCAGTATCTCTGCCCTTTTGAAGAACATTAGTAAGTGTTTTGGGTTGTACCAATACGAAGATATTTCAAATGCTGCCCTATTCCAGTGGGGCAACCATGTCACACGTGTTTTGTGTAATACAATAGACTCCATCCATCCCTTTTAGGATATGGTGTAGATAGCAGAAGCAGCTTCACAACAAATAAGGTACACAGCAGTCATCTTCATTTCCTACTGAGAGCAAATTCTCAGCTGCCAAACTAGCAGCCGAGAAGTATTTAAGAAGTCCTTACATACAATGTGTGTGGCTGCATGGAGTGGGAGTACTAAATAACAGTTTACTGATGAGAACTCAAAAAGCAGAGTATTTCTACGTAAGTAGGATTTACAGTATACAGATAGAAGCACTGCTTTGGGCACAGCATTTTTTATTAAAATTCTTTTGATAAGCTGATTAAGAGAGTTACTTGAGGTTTTCATAATTGTCAACCCTCTTTATCTTTGGTATGGTGTATCTGATCAAATAGTTCTTACACATGATGTCCTTAGGGCTGGTGTTCTTCTGTTTCATATCCTAAGTTAAATAGCATCTGGTTGTAATTATTTTTGTAATTATGGCTGCGTAATATGATTCCACTTTCCAATAACAAGGGCTTCAATTAATGTTTTCTCCCTCAAATGTGTGTTTTACAGGGGGAACTTGTGATTCTGGAGAATCCCATGAAAATGATGTCACACTTTATGCCAAGCTTGAAGGCAGGAGGGAACACATACCTCTTGATACCCTGACCTATGCTGCTTACAAGGTAAATTGTTCTAAACAAAGTAGGTTGGTGGGATGGGATGGATATATCAATCTGGATTTAAGCCATCACAACAATGTTGTATGTTGCATTCCGTAGGGGCAGTCAAACATGATCTTCCCAAGCACATAAATATCGTGCAGATCCATAACGATGGGATGCCTTTGCCACACAACTCTGCAGTTGTTGCTGATTACTCCACCCTAGAGCTGGACTGTGGCATTGGCTAGTGCTAGGATAACAGGCAAATGGGCAACAGGCAACATTTGCAGCCATCAGCTGAAAACTTTGATTATAATTCCTCCTCAAAAATAATTACTCTTGTCTTCAGTCAAGCTCCTGCTAGCCATGGTTTGATATTCAGGAGCTACATCCTCAGAGGGCCAGTCATGGTGAGAGCAGTGGCTAGGAGGAGAGTGACTGGCAAATGCCTGGATCTCTTTCCTGCACCAGGTGCAGGAAATTTCTCATTTTACACTTTTTATTTCTATTTTAAGTACAGTGATGTAGACTCTTAGAGAGTCTGCAGTGATGTGGGCACAAACTGGGCCATAGGGTGTTATTACTGGTAGTGTGCACAATCAGCTTCTCCTCTGCCCATAATGCAGCCTGCTTCCAACCATGTCCAACACAGGCAGGACAGTAAGGACCTGGAGCTTGCTGTTGGGATCCTTCCTGTCCAGGGCAAGGAAACACTTAGGCCACAGCTACCCTGAGTAACCCAGCCCTGAGGTGCCCTTAGTGTGCTGCTGTGAAAAAGATAATGAAAATTGATACATAATACATGGACGTGCCAGAGATTGAAATGCAGTATGCTTGCAGAGCATGTAGGAAATTTGGTGGTAAAGATGCAACTGATTTCAAGCACAGCTCTGTGTGCATTTTCACTGTAACTCCAGTATTCAGAGAGCAAATATTTACAGTCGGGTTTGGCCTGAGTCTGGTTGAGTCACTTGCATTGTTTCATTGTGCGTGCTTTCCCTCATCGCCTGCTTCTGTGTGAAAGACGAGGCAGAACTTTTTTAAAACTAAGGAAACTGTAATTGTAAAATAATAAAAAATTAATCGAGGAACTTGGGGAGAGATAGGATCTGAAATTGCACTGTATTCATTGTGGAGTTTTTTTTAAAACAAGCAATTTTAAAGCTGACATCCTCTTTTGACATAATAAAGTTCTAATTACATCACCTTAGGACAAAGGCTGAGCTTTGTAAAGCAGTGCTTTCATTTATTTCCACAACATAACATCCTCCCTACATATGCCTGTGAACTCCTGCTGTTACTCCATTCTCACGTATTTGGACCCTCCCTTTGCATCTGTGAGCTTCATCCTCCATTACCAATGAAGTACTGACAAAATAGAGGAGTATTTTCAGAACACAGAAGGTAAACTCTTTTCTACAGCATCTTTACCACCAAACATATTGATCCCACTGAGGTGATAAGCAGCATTGATATCCAGAGTGTTAGAAGCTATGCACAAAATATAATATGTTTTTATTTGGGGTCTTCTGTGGAAAAAGGTGGCTAAAAATTTTTTAACAAAAATGAAACAAGGAGAGAGAAAAGCACATGTCTGGTTCAGCACATTTGAAGTTGCTTTTGTATTTTAAATAGTACCTTGTGAAAATTTTTTAGTATTACTTGTTTTAGTTAAGCCTGGTTTAATTTCTTTTGAAGGTTCCATCTTTGGTTTCTGTTGTCATTAGTCCGGACCTGCAGACTCCAGCAACTAAGTTTTGCCTGAAGCAAAAGAGTCACCAAGCCCACAACAGGAATGTCTGGGCTGTGGATTACTTCCATGTCCTTCCAGTGCTCCCTTCCACGGTGACTCACATGATCCAGTTCTCCATCAATTTGGGCTGTGGAACTTACCAACCTGGTAACAGGTACAACAGGCGAGATTTCTCTTTTGATTATCAGCTTTCTAGCACATTTTAGTTTATAGCATCTATGTGAGTATTTGGATTTTTTTTTCTCAGAAAATATGAAGCCAATTAATAATGACAAATACAAGCTTCTCGAAAGCTAGTGTTTCTCCCGATCTCCACATGCCTAGATTTATATAGCTCACATGCAATAAGGAGTTTATTAAATAGCTTTCCAGTCAAAACTTGCTTTTCTTAATCCATTATTTTGGAATATGCTCATGATTTCAGAGCAACTTTTGCTCCAGTTTCTAATGGATATGAAATTTACCCCTTAATACTGTGTAAGAGGGAAAGAATTAAAGGCAGCAGCAGCAACCTGCCCTGCTGACCTTGCAGACACTACTGATGCCACAAGCATATCTAATTCTTGTAAGACTGATGATAAGTGGTCTTCATCTTGATGACCATCAGTATGAGGACCTCACTGCCTGCACACTGGCCACTGAACTATTTTGCTGGCTTCACTTCATGGGGACATTCAACATTATTTTTTCCATGGAGTTAAGGGGGAGGGAAAGGGAAAGAAGGGAGCCATTTGCTCCTTCATATTTTGTGAAATATTACAAATGCTGGTTGGAAGGGACCTTCACAGTTCATCAAGTGAAACCCACTGCTGCAGATGGGATTGTTACCAGCATACGTCTGGTCAGCCATGGCTTTGTCTATCCATGACTTGAAAACTTCCATGAAGGGACATTGTGCTGCCTCTCTGGGTGACCTGCTCTAGTGAGGAAGTGTTTCCTTAATGTCCATTCCAAAACTTGGAAGCCGTGTGTTTATGGCCATTGCCCTTCCTACTGTGCCTGCCAATACTGAGGAAGGTTTGGCTCTGCCTCCCTTGTGAGTGCCCTCTGCACCATCGCAGACTGCCCTAGCTCACCCCTCCTCACCAGGCTGAGCAAGGCGGCTCCCAGGCCCCTCCTAGCTTGGTGCTTGAGGCCATGGACATTTTGGTCATCCTCTGCTCCACCTCTCCAGTTTGTTCATCCTTCTTCAAATAGGAGACCCGAAGCCAAACTGTCCACTGTCTCTCTTTCCTTATGTACATGTGAGACTGTTTACCCTGATATTTTATGAGGATTAAGTTACTTTAAGTTATTTTTTCCAGAGTCAAGAGTTTAAAGTAGGAGAATGTAAATGCTTTCACATCCATGTCCCTGCTTCCAACTGGAAAGAGCTGCATTAGCACTGACAGTCCTAGCAGCCATGCAAGGCAGCAGAATTCAAGGGATAGCAGAAATAAAGGCATTGCACTTGTTAGGAAGGGAAGGCAGCAACATTCTTCTATGTGGAAAGTGAAAACTTTGCCTGTAAACACTCCTGGCCTGTATACGTGTTATATAATGTCTCTGTCTCAGTCAGTTGCCTGAGGTAGATTAGTGCATATTTTGAAAGACTAATATTCTTCCTTTAAACTGTTTCTGAAGCATAAGTGGGCTTCTTCTACAAAAGAAGCACAGGTCCCCATAATCCCTATTTGTGTTTCCCAAATACAGCTGCATTTCCCATCTCCTGATCTACAGCATTGTTCATAATGCTTTCATTACTACAAATGTAAGAGACTCACACTGAATATATGCAATAAATATGACTTTCCAAGATATCAGTACAGTTAAATCTGAAATAAATTAGTCAAAACCTCCAAAAACCATTTTATTACAGTATCACAGTTATGGTACATTTAAATAAAGCAATACTGCCAGCAAATTATAATGAAAAGAAAAAGTTATAATCCAATAATTTAGTACTGAGGTGATGAATTATAACCTTTATAATGTTCTATTGATACTACTTAAAATAAAACAGAATATTACAAGCTTGTTATAGGGAGGAAATGACAAGAGTATTTCAGTAAAATACTAAAACCTTAATAAATCAAGCACTTTCTATATTACTTTTTCAGGGTCCTCAGAATGTAAAAGACGTAAGGATTTCCTTACACTCCCAGGTTGTAAACAGTGTTTTTTTTAAAAAATATGCAGTGAAACTGAGAAAGAAAAAATTCTAGTAACATCTTTTTGAAAACTGAACTTGTCAATGAACTTCTGGGAGAAAGGGTTTAATAACTTATTGTCATAGACTCAGTGGGTGGTCTCATAGATTTTCCAGTTCTCTAATGTCACTGTCTGCACATGGATGGTTTGGTTTACTGCTAGTCTATGAAACTGGAGAACAGCAGCCTTTTTCCCAGCAAATCTGGAGGTTTTGCATATGGTTATTCACAAAATTCAGAAAAATTGACCACTGAGTGCTCCAGGCTCTGTGAGGTGGGAGGAAGCCTCCAAAGACCCCTGTGGCTGGGCAGCACAGAGGCTCCCACAGCTCCTGGGGGCTCTGCCTGTTCTTTGAAGGATGCCCTTCCCCAGATCCCCTCCACCCTCTGTGGTCCTCAGTGAGGGCTGTCTGTTTTCACTGTTCTGTAGTGCTTTTCTGATCTCCATTTAAGCACGATGAGTGGAGAAGACAAATGACTGAGGAGTCCAATTAAGTTAATATTTGCCAGCAATGGAAGGAAAGAGCAAGCACGAGTGCAAGCAAGTGCATGAATGACTAGTGGTCTTTTACTGCCTTCCGAAAATGTCATGGTTAGCAGCTGGCAGTTATAAGCATCCTGTGCTCACATGATGCCTTATAGGTCTGAATAATTCAAGTTTTCTCTTCTGAAATGGAAGAGTAACATTAGCTCCTTTAACTGCAGCAGCATAAAAACACTAGCTAGATGGTGGCCAAGCAAGGATTAGGTGTTTAGACAGCCCTGAATCTATAGCCTACCCCTTTGGTTTTCACATACTCAGATTTGTTTCATGTTTGTATTTTCAGGTTTTTTTTATTCAAACTCTTCTTAAAATTATTTCAAGTTTCAGCATCAGTTATTAGGAATAGCAGATTTGGTGATTTCTCAGTGTTGGTACTTCTACACTCATATGTGCGCCAGGTACACTCACGGTATTTCTCCTTTCTTTCCTTCACTGTGTTATCAGCGTCAGCTTGGAGTTTTCAACCAACCATGGTCGCTCTTGGTCCCTGCTCCACACCGAGTGTTTGCCTGAGATTTGCGCTGGGCCTCACCTCCCCCACAGCACTGTGTACACCTCTGAAAATTACAGCGGGTGAGAGTGTTCTCTGCAAAGCTGAGATGCAAGATTGGAGAAGTGAATTTTAGGTGACAGAAGAAAGCAGCAAAGCACGCAACCCCATGTCATCTTTCATTTTTGACTAGCTGTGGACAGCAAGGAAAGAGGGGTCTGATCTCCTTGGCTGCCCAGCAATGAAATTTGAAATACATGGGGTTGCTTCTGTGGTATAATATTATTTTTCTGATGCTAAAGATAAATTACAAAAAATCCCCAAAACCTGTGGACAGCATGCTGGGAAATAAAAGAAAAATTGTAACTTGACAAAGTTCCTTCTTAGTCAAAATGCATCATCATTCAAAGCCATATTTACATCCTCAGACACCGTTACTAACTTGAAATCCCAATATTGGATTACAGTGAAGCACATCTTCTGCACTTCTGCAGATGGAGACGGTTGTTACTGTCACTTTCTTATGTCACTTCTTCTCTTTATTAAGTCTCTTTGGTACTGTTCTGACCATAAATTGAACTGTGACATTTTGCTACATAGCACAAATCCCATGACTCTCTATTCCTCTGTATCCCAACTTCCACAAACACTTTAGAGCAGCAGGTATGGCCATGAGAAGAGGGTGTAGTTGAGGCGTTGCTGTTATCTGGTGATCCTCATTTCTGTACCATTTTCATAGGAACCAGTGTGTGTAGAAAGTGTAGCCACTGTTGATGACATAAGAATGATGGCTTAGACCACAGCAGGCCAAATCCTCTGTGCCCCTCTTCCCACTCCAAAGGGTTTCCACCACGCAGAGCTCAGTTGTGATGAAAAGTTTAATTCAGGATGCAATTTAGGGATATTCACTGTGATGGAGGAGTTGCTATAGTGAAGCAGGTAAAGATCTTTGCTGACTTCATGCATTCATACAGGAGGGGAAAATGGTTGAGGTTTATAATATAATAATTAACATTCATGTATTGTATGAAAATATCATGGGCCATGTTGTTTTTCATTTGCATTTTCTAAAGCTGCAGTAACTTCACTGTCTCATTTGAGCAGGTTTTCGAATTAAAAACTATCACAAAGCTTGCAGTCTAAGTAAACACATCTGCAAAACATGCAGTTGCTTAACAACTGTCAGTGTACTATGTTAGTATTTGTGTTATATGTATTTCAGGTGGAACAGAATAACTATTCCCCTTCCCAATGCTGCATTAACAAGTGACACCAGGATTCGATGGAGACAAACAGGACCAATCCTTGGAAATATGTGGGCAATCGATAATAGTTAGTATTCTTATCCACTATCTTGATACATCGGAAGAATAAATTTTTATATGCTGCTCCAAGTAAATGTATTTTCCAAAATCATGGGTCAAAGGATTTTCAGTTTGTTAAATTCATTTTCTTCATATCTGCACTTGGTAACAGGTGCATTTTGAAGCTAGAGTGGAATTCTGTCATTTGAAAAGACAGCCTCATAGATTAGCCTTATTTTTCTTTTAATTGAATGCTTTCCAGGAAAATATATTGATGGCAAGGACTTAATGTAACAGTCCCTCTGACTGCTTAGTCCCAGTTACAGAAGTAACTATTTCCTGCGCTACTAAGGACAGGGACTGCACCAGTCTAAGGCACACCTACAGCATCTGGGACATATTTTTCCTTCTGAACATAGAAGACCTTCATAAAGCAATGCTGCTACCAAACACTGGCAAAAAATTTACATTGTTTACAATGTCTTCAGGGGGAAAGTACCATCTGTTTCAGGGACCTGTTCTTCTTTAAGAAAATTATTTTTTGCCTACCTGTTCTTTAAATGGATGTGAAGAACTGAGAAAAGCTTATATTGATGTGTATAATTATAAAACTTAGTACAGAGGACAACTGGGAACAGTCTTGAAAGGAAGTACTTTAAAGCACAGAAAAAATATTTAGAAGCACAGGATAAAATAGAAACATGTTATGAAATGCAGAAATAAGTATGGTTGAAAGGGCTAACTATGATACGGTGTAGCTTTTTTAACTTTGCTCATTAGCCTTAGATGTTTTGGCACTAAGTAAACTACATCCAGAATTTGTTCTGTTAGATCTGTGAAGTATGTAATTTAAAGATTTACGGTGATGTACAATAGCCTGTGAAATTTCATAGTGATTTCTAATAGGGTTTGATATGGAGCCGGGGAATGGTAAATAGTTATATTTTGCAAAATTCTTAAAATAGATTACTGCCTAGTTTTGAAAAGGAAATTCTGATTATCTGCAAAGATGAGTTGCTACCTAACAAAATGCAGACTGTAAATGTTGGAGTTGCTCACAAAAGTTCAGAGAAATAAGAGAAAGAGAAAATCAATGCAAGAATCCAAAATTCTTTACGACAGAACAAAACAACGAGATTTTGAAAATTAATGGACAATTCATATATCTGCACTAAATACAATTCCATTTAAGGATGCTGCTATGCTCCACTCTGTAGCATCTCAAAGGCAATTTTACCAACCATCTGCCTAAAAACTGCCTGCTCTGAATTTTGTTAGAGATGTAGAACCATGACATGGAAATTAAGTCTTAAAGATGAACATGTTTATGAGGTTTTGCGCACCTCCTTTGTTAGATACCAGTGCAACTGAAGCTTTGCACTTCGGTATTGTAAGGAAAGACTTATAAATATTGGCAAGTCATTCAAATTCTGGAAGAGAAGAAGATTTTCAAGGATTCAGCACTCTGACTTTTAGCTTCACAACTGTTTCTTATGTGAATTAAGTTTTAAATGAAATCTGGAAGCTGGCCATCTTTTAGGAACACTGGAAAACTGCCAATTTTCATAAAGCTTTTTTCATTTTGAACGACATCATTACATCTTTAACCCTTCTACTCTTACCACCCCCTCAAAAAGACCTCAAAAAAGACAAATAAATCAAACTGACAGAACAGAATTTTTGCACCTTGAAAAGTGAGAAAATCTAGAAATCACATGAAGTCTGATTGGAAGTCAGTTACAGGGAGTAGCTAACAGGGATTTAGAGTGCGTCTGCTGGGGCATACTGACACATGATGGGCAACATCATAAAACTAAGAGAGGGAGTAAGTACTGCTTGTTACAGATGATTTCAAATTGGTGGCTATTTGGATGGCATTCCAAAAGTCACAGTGGAAGTGGGTAACTCCGTGTAACAGGCATTCTTCAACAGAAAAGTTGTCACTCTTCATGGTTAAGGCCTTTTAATCATATTGTATTGAAAGAACATTACCCAGAAATTATAACTTTGCACTACACCCAGATAAATGCATTTGGTCTTTACTCAGACTCATGCTTTTCTTTATAGTAGTGCAATGAGATGTAGATTATACTGATTATTGTTCCATCCTTCATATTTTTCACAAAATATAAACACTGTTGATTAGGAGTCAACAGAGGAAGAAGAAATAAAATAGTAAACCAAGTCTGGAGTATTTTTGAGTATTTTATTGCATTTGAAAGAATCAGTGAAAGTGCATGATATTTAATAGTTACTTAAGACGTACCAGGGCAGATTCTCATTCAGATAAATCCAATGAAGTTAAGTTTGTGGAGTTCAGTGAGAGAAGCAGCAACACCTTTTAAAAATCTACAAGACTGCTATTGGAATGTACTAATATATATATATTGGATTACATCTCTGAAATAAGATTAAGAAAAGGAAAAAGAAGAAAATGGTCAATGGATAGCAAATCAGCTGATCTCATTCACAGTCTTAGAAAAATCAGGTACATTAATTAAAACATCACTGGTGTGACATTAGCCATTAAATAATAAATTATCCCTGGCTATCCTTGACGCAGAGCAAAATTCCATTACTCAGTTCTATGAAGGATACAATCAAATGCATTTCAACTTTTTGTAGACCTCTTCCAGCTGGTGAGATTAAGGTAAATACAGTAACTGTATGATCAGGTCTGTATACTTGTATTCGTAATAATCTGTTTAACACAGGACATAATGCTTCATTTAACTAATTTCTTTTCTCTGCAGTTTATATTGGTCCATCTTGCCTCAAATTCTGCTCAGGGCGAGGACAATGTACTAGAAATGGCTGCAAGTAAGAGTTATAATTCTGTACTCATATGCAATTTCTGTCACATGGTTCACTTAATGATCTGAAAGTTGAAGTGATTTTCATTACAGCCTTTCCTTTTTGAGATTACTGAATATAAAACCAGCATAGCCTCTAGAATGCATAAAGCTCAATGGAGAGCTAAAGATCAATCTTTCTAAATAGTAGTATATTTAATTTTTTTTCTATAATTTTCTTTTGGGAGAAGGTCTAACTTGCAGTTCACCTTAAAATGTGCTATAGAGTACGCTTATATGTCAGTGATATGTGCTTTATACTGGTTTTAGAGGTGATTTGGGACTTCTGTTTTAAATTCTGGGAAATTACTGTTTTCATAGTTATAATATCCCATAGCCTAACAGACCTCAAGGACAGAAGTTCAGCACTTCACTTTTTCTGAAAGTCTGGCTTGTTAAAAGTGTTCCAGCCTAAAAAGTAAAGATACTTACTCAAAATCAATAAGAACATTCAAAATATTGTTATAGGTATTAACAAGAGTGTGACCCATTGGGTGCTCTGTTCTGTTACTCAGTTTCTTGTAATCACATCTGACATGCTACAGATAAAAGCAAATTAATCATTTTACATATGAACAACTGTAAATTATGCCAGCAATATTTTTGTTGCAAAAAAGAATAAAAATATTTGTGTGTTATGTGTAGATTGGTGGGGTGTTTTCACTTACAATTTTATTAAATTGGAAAAGTAAGTACTAGCTAAAAGAAAGTTACTGCCTATGTGATCCCTAAATAAAGTTTAAAGAGGTTCTCGGTCCTTAGATTTGAGACAGACTTTGTAAGCATCTTCAGTTCATGAACAACTGCAGCCACTCTATTGGTTTGTTAATGAACCACAGTAGAAGATGGGTCATTAATTACGCTGTTCAATCTTCCTCACCCTCAGGTGCGACCCCGGCTTTTCAGGGCCAGCATGTGAGATGGCGTCACAGACCTTCCCCATGTTCATCTCGGAGAGCTTCGCCAGCTCCCGCCTCTCTTCCTATCACAATTTTTACTCCATCCGAGGGGCTGAGGTCAGCTTCGGCTGCGGGGTCCTGGCCAGCGGCAAGGCCCTGGTCTTCAACAAGGATGGGAGGCGCCAGCTTATCACCTCCTTCCTCGACAGCTCCCAGTCCAGGTGAGAGGGAGAGAGCAGTAATATGAAGCAAAGAAACTGAGGAACCCCTCCTCTTCCAGCTACAACCTTGTGTATTATTAAGCCGATTCTTTTAGCAGGAGGAAAAGTTTTTTAGAAAAACTCCTAGTTCTATATTTTAAGGGTGACTTCATAGCTTTGCCTTTTTTCCTCCTGCTTGGTAAACACCAGAGCCCAAAACCGACTGGAGGGAAGTTATTGTACAGCTCAGACGGAGAATATGAAATGTTAATATCAAACCTGAGTGTCAAAGCCAACTGCTAATTAATTATTTATAAGGTTGTGTTTATTTGACAGCTTGTGGCAGCTGATTAGATCCATTCACTATCTCTCCCTCCCCTTCAGTGCCTAATAAATAATTAAATGTTGTAATGATTGGCATTTTTTAACTATATGTGCCACATTGCATTACTTGACAGTAAAAACAAATCGCAAATACAAAACCCCATAACTGATATTTATCAAAAATTGTCTAGATTGAGGAGATCTGAAAACAACCTGGTTAGAAAAAAATGTTATGCAAATAGTACCCTATAAATATTTGTGTAATTCTGATGCAGATTCCTGCAGTTCACGCTACGCCTGGGCAGCAAGTCAGTGCTGAGTACTTGCAAAGCCCCTGACCAGCCTGGGGAAGGAGTGCTGCTGCACTACTCCTATGACAACGGGATCACCTGGAAACTGCTGGAGCACTATTCCTATCTCAACTACCATGAGCCAAGGTATTAGCATAAATATCATGAGGAGCATGCAGTTAATGCTGGTGGTGGTGGTCACTGCAATGGGCACTTCCCATTTTTGTCTGCTTCTATAAAAATGAATACATGGATTTAATGGCATCCAAGTCTCAGGTGACATGACAAGAACAAGACGAGGCAGTTCGGGATGAGGAGTACCAATGTACTAGTGGGAAACAGGGCCATGTCTCTTCCCATGGAAGCAGCCACTTGTACAGAAAATTAACATAAATTATTTGTAGCCTTGAAGCCATAGATATCTTCACTACACCATCCTCTAGGGTTAGGAGTTTGCAGGCAGCGTAGGACAGCTGAGATGAAATCTGTCTGTGAGGGTCTCTCCAGGTCAGCAGGGAAATTGCATCTGCTCACATTGTGAAGGGGATTCCACAACTTTGTGCCTGTGGCTGTGGGCTGCACTGGGAGGACCTGCTGATGGCTGTGCCTGGGAATTGTGCAAATCATGAAGAAGCCAAACTAAGAGCTCATCTCATCTAGCAGCACCTGTGTTTGGTGTCAGATTAGAGAGGAATGTACCTGATGTTCTCTAATTGAGAAGGTATTCTTTTCTATTACATTTGTGAGACCATCCACCAATTTTAATAAAACAGTGCAAAATCAGGCATCTCCACCAGCACACCTGTACTGCAAGTCTAGAACAATCTGGACTGGCTCTGTACAAACCCACTCAAACATGGAAGCATCCACCTCCACAGAGTGGAGCCAATAAATCTCGATGAAAGGAGATGCTCTGTGAGGGGGCACAGGAGGCAGACCTGATGGTGGCATCACGGGTCCCGTCCCAGCTGGTCCATTCCTGCCCAAGAATGGCTTTGCACTGGGTATGGCTCTGTGTCCTCTTCTCTACCCCTGCACCCAGTTCCAGGATAATATGTCTGCAAGTCACTTTAACTACGTATAACTTTCATTATTTGTATTTATTGAGCCTATATCAGTGTACTTAAAAAAAATTAGATTTACTGATCTTGTTAATAACTCAGTACAAAATAAGAATATCCTAATGGAAAAAAATTGTGACTTTAAATGTGTTTCCTGGGACCTATAAGAAATACTCAAAAATCTGAGAGAATGACTATATTTAGTAGAGGTATACTGCATGTGGACTTTCCAAAGGAAAGATCCTATGAACTGGAACACTCATAAGCCTTCTTCAAAATTTCCCTTCCCGTCTTTTGTTATAGTCACATAGAATTTTTATATGGCCCTGTTTCTAATTCTTAGTAGATTCAAGATTGCAGCTCTAGGAATTATATTTTCCTAAAGGTTTTTAATATATAGCACTATGGAATTTCTGTAACAGAAAAGAAAACACACATTCTGGTGACTGATTTTCATGAAGTTTAGGACATAAATGTAGTACATTATATTGATGCCAGAGACTTTTTTTTACTTTTTGATATTAAAACACAATTTCTGTTGTTCTGACAAGGCAAAGAGCTAAGCACAAGATACACAGGTTAGAAAGGTTTTGCCATGGTATGTGTATAGTCCACTCTGTGGGGATAGATAAATGACAGATATACAAACCTAAAGAAAATGCTGGCAATAATTATGATGGAGAACATGAAGAAAGCTTCACCTTTTTGTATTATGTTGTCTGAAAAGATCAGCATTTTTGGTAACATAGATGGACTGCTGCAAAGTTTGGCAATGAATCTGTATCCAGAAATTTAATTAATCTTCTGTCATACAAAAAATAATTACACATTTAATGTTCTGCTGAAAAGGTGCATTTAATCTGCTAACATTTGACAGCTGCATTTTTCTTGTGAGCAGAACAGTGGTGGCTTTTCAATATTAGGTGTGCGCATAGCTTGAAAGAATGAGACCAGAGCAAAGGTCTCCCAGCCGGTTTTCAAGAAATCTAATGGTAGCTGGTAACGTTAGTAGGAACACTTTTCTTCTCTGCAGCAGAAAAGTCATTAGCAAAAATTCCCCTCCCTCTCCATCTATCTCCAACAAATCAAAGCCAGACAGGAGAAGCTGTTATAACTGGAGATGTAGTCAGGTTCTGCATACTAACATATGTGCCATACATGGTGGTTTACACCAACATTTTGCTTAATTCCCTGGAATGAGAAATTTATTTCAACATGCGTTAAATATTTTAACATCTGATGGGTGTGTCTGTGGCACATGCCATGATTTAGGATATTCTGTAAATTACTGTCAGTGAGAATTAGTGTCCATGTGGGTGAGCTTATGAGAGTTAAGAGTAAAAGGCAAGTTGCAGACATCAGAGACAGCCACCAGCAGAGAGCTATGCCCAGGATTATAACAGAGCATTAGCTCACACAAGTGCCAAGCGCTTCACAGCATACACTGGATGTGGTGCTCCTCTTAGCCCGGATACCAGCTTTCCTCAGCTTTGCCCTGCTGACCTATGGGAGACAAAACCATTAGTGCCTTTTAGCATTAGTAAGGATTTTGTGTCATTTGTGCCTTTGAAAATTGACCCAAAAAGTCATAGAATTGCTGCTCATTAGGGAACCCTTGGTAGAAAAAAAGTCCTTGTTTATTCACAAGCCAGAGAGTAATGGGGCTTGGTCTTTCTCTTAGAAGGGTATGAAGTCCTTCAAGTATGTTTGAGTGGCAAAATGATGTATCCACCATACCTAAAGTGTGTGCACTGCTGGTCTCTTGCCATGGGGACATGGCAGCTGTCACCTCCGACTGTTCCTCAACACTGCTCTCTCCAGCCTATGCTTGGCTGAAAGCAACTCCTAGAAATGCCAGCCAGGACTTTTTGAGTTCTTCCCATCTGTTTAGCCAAGGCCTTTGATTTTTTTCTTGCTAATGGATTAACATTTTCTTTGTAAAAATTATTGTGACATTAAACAACAGTATTAGAGAATTACTTTTTACAAGGAATTTTAGTAAGTCATTTTTAAGAGTGTGGTTTTGCACTAAGAGCATCACAGGCACGAGATTGTTTCATATGCACAGAACAAAACATTACAACAGGTAGCTTAGAAAGCCTTAAATCTGGGAAAAAACCTTGGTGCTAAAGTATAAAGTGATGTTTCCAGTTTACCAGATGTGTTATTTTATCCACATTCCCTCTGGAAGAGAAAGAAAAATATCAGCTACATGATGAGCTTGCCAAAAATCCTTTAGCCAGCAAGTAATTCTACACCAATGGAGACAAATGTCCCTGCTGCCAGCCTGTTTCACAGCTCATGCGTGTTGCGTGGGGCACCATGGTCCTGGTGATTTATGGAGCTTTCAAGAAGGTGTCGTTGCTGTGGCAATTAATGCATGCTCCCTGCTGCTGTGTACGATAATTGCTCCTGGAAATTAGGTATTACTCTTAATTTTCTTTGCAGTTTGTCAATTACAGGTTTGTTGACATAGCTGCCATGACAAATCAGGTGACCTTGCATACCAGGAGAAGCGCCTGGGACTCACCTCCAGTTGCATCTCTATGCAACTACAGAAGAAAAGTGTCTGCTATAAGAGACTACACAAAATCACACAGTCTGACAAGACGAACCTGTTCCGCTTGAACGTGGCAGTTTACAGGGGTGGATTCTTCTGCGGCAAGGGCACCACAGGCATGACATCTGGGCTGTGCAGAAACAAGCACAGATGTTAAGAAGATGCATGTCTTCAGATCAGGATAAAATCCACTGAGACTGAGAAAGTGGAGCTGAAATTCGTAAATGCTTGTTCATCCCTTTGCCAGTCTAAGCCCCTGGCCTACAGCTGGATTTCAAATAAAGGGCATTTAGGTTTCTTCTTGCAAGGAAGAGTATCTTTAAAATTTAAAGACAGCTCCAGTAGCAGCAAAATTTACAAAATTGGTAGAAACTCTTTTTTGTGTTTTTTTGCACATGGCTCTTTTTTGATAAATACATGGACTGCCAAAAGAACTAATGATTCCCTGTCCCTGTCACTGCTAGAAGCTATACCAATAGATTTTAAAGTATCTGTGGGCTGAACTTAACCCATGATTCCTAGGGTCAGCAAGGAAAAATAACCATAAAATACATCCCCATAGAATTATTACAAACACAGAGACTTTCTGTAATAATTTTGGTTTGTTTTCCAGAATAATTTCAGTGGAGCTGCCTGAAGATGCGAGACAGATTGGAATTCAGTTCAGATGGTGGCAACCATATCACTCTTCTCAAGGCGAAGATGTGTGGGCAATCGATGAAATCATCATGACCTCTGTGCTTTTCAATAGCATCAGTCTGGACTTCACCAACCTAGTTGAAGTCACACAGTCTCTGGGATTCTACCTGGGAAATGTTCAGCCCTACTGTGGACATGACTGGACTCTTTGGTGAGAAACACGTATTCACTTCTGTTCTACTTCTGTTTTCTTTGCCTGGTCATTCTGCTAAGAATCAAGTGATTTCTGAAAATGAGTCTTTCTGACACCTATTCAGAGTAATTGTGTCTCATCCTTACATCATGGACAAAAATATGGTTGCTAATCTAACTGCAATTAGCAGTAAGTTTTTACACCTCATTGCACTGAGATTTATGTTTGATGGGAACCTTGAAAGTAGTAGTCTTTCCTCACAAAATATTTAAATAATATCCTAATGGAAACAATTTAGAAAATTTTCATAATCTTCACTTAAAATCCAGCCAGGTTAATATGGGCATACAGGTTATGGAATAATCTCTTAAGTACAGACTTAGAATATTTAATAAGTGATGTTCAGATCAGTTTACATAGCCATTAGATTACACTCCAGAAAGAAAGGGTAGCAGAATATTGGTAGAATCATGTTAGTAATTTCTAGTTATTTTGTCTAGTATTCTATCCATTTAGTAACTTACACTGTGATCAGCATTACGACATTTTGCAATTCTGCCTAAGATGCTCTGTGTATTTAGAAACAAAAGAAAGAAAACATCACCTGCCCCAAAACAAAAAAAGGCAAGAAAAGAAAAAGAAGTGGGGAAGAAAAAGAAGAAAATTCTGTTAGGATTGTGTAAAAATAAGCTTTTTAAATAAAACATTTGCGCGCTTCACAAGTATTAAATTCTGGAGTACATAAGTGTAACATTTGGAAATAATACAAGGGAAGCTCAATTTAATCTCTATGTGTTGATTAAAATCAAATGACAGTTTCATGCTAGTCTGATCAACGTATAAACCCAATATGGCTTTAATTGGCGTAGATACATTTATTTGAAGAAAGTACAATCACAGTAATGATGGAAAACCTCAAGAAAATGGAAATAATTTTAGTGTCCCCATGGGCACTTGGAGAAACACTGTTGGAATTTTATTAACAAGTATCTCTGAGCAATCTGATTTGACTTTCTGATCATCTGTCAAACTAAAAGGAGTTGGCTTGGCAGTAGGAACAACAGTGAATGTGTTCTAGCGGTGATAATGAGGCAGTAGAAGCACCATTAACCACTTTAATAAGGACAAGGAAGGTACTCACTGCTCATTAAAATTAAACAACATGTTAAGGCTCAAACTGTTTGCATCTTCTTCATCAGAGTCGGATTGCCCTTTAATGACATTGTTTTCCCTCTGTTCTTGTAAGACCAGTTTATCATGGGAAGGGAGGTAAGTTATTTAAGATAGCAGAGGTTCCTCTGTTTTCCTCCTATGACTCTAAATCAATAACAGAGTAATAAATGCTAACCTAAATTCTCCATCCCGTATATTGGCTAGGATTTGTAGTGCTCAGTCATAGCAGATATGTGAAACTTCCCATCCATCAAGTAAAGAATCAAAGCCTTTGCAATACTTCCTTACTATTTATGTATAAGTATTTTTCATTATCACTGGAAGACATGAACTCTATCCTTCACTGACCTTGTTTCTCTCAAGGGAAATTTTTAAACTTGCACAAAGTCTGTACAAATAGCTGCTAGTTAAATTAATTATTGTTGCCTTTTCCCAGCTGTGAGTCCATTTGGTTCTCATTTTCTAACTCATGACTTTCTATGAGAAGAGTTTGCAGTAGCACTGGCACCATCCTCTTGAGAGAAGTCTGACAACTGCTTTTTCATTAGTAGAACTATGGTGAATATGCTATAAATCATTTTACAGGTGTCATCCCCAGGACAATTTTCACTGAATTGCCTTCAATTGTCTATTAGGCTTCCATTTCTTCCTCAGAATCTGTAAATCTGAAATACTTATCCTTAAAGTTGGTAAAAACTGAGGATTTTTTAAAACTGGGTAAAAACTGGAGATTTTTATTTTTGTTGGAGAGGGAGGTTGTTCTTTTCAATGTCTGGCTTAATTTAGAAAAGAGGAGTTTGATGATATACACGTTCTGAGCAAAGGTGATTTTTTAGTGTTTTATAATGGTCTATATCTGGAACAGTCACATTATTTGATTGTAATCTTCAATATTTGGTTTCAGATTGGTTCTTAGACTTTATTACAGCAAGTGTATTGAGTATACTGAAAGGACTACAGAATACTTTTAAAATTAAATGTTTGATGATCTATGTTAATTCATCACTTCTCCAAAATGCTCATACAGAGGCAAGATTTTGACCCAAATGCCTCTGGAGTGTTGCAGAATATTTACAGCCACTTACTGAAATGCATTTAAGTATTGATAAGGATGGTGACAGTTTTTTTTTTTAGTATTCACCTGGACACAAATAAAATACCATTATATAAATAAACTGTCTTCAGTCAGCTTACAGCGCTATGATTTAACTTAATATAAAGGACAATAGAGTGTCCCACTGTCCCTGGAGCAGCCTGGCAGAAGACTGTAAATCTGGCTCATAAACAACTATGGAGCAATATAGTACAGTTAATATTTAATACATTTAGGGTTTATTTAACTAAGTTGGTATGATGTGATATAATAAGACATGAACATCTCCTGCCTTTGATGGAGCCAGATCTGGGGCTTGTGTGAGCGTTTGGCCATCACGTCAATATTTTTGGTCAATGTAGCTTTACAAAATCAGCTGCATCCATGTGGCTTTTCAGTATTCCTGGAAGTACTGGCCTTGAAAACATGGTAACTCTGGGGATCCCAGAGCAGTTTGGAGAAGCACAGATTGGCTGACATTGGCTGTGATATCATTCCCAGAAGTACCAATTAGTTGGCAGTGCTTGGAGAGAGAGCAATTGTTCTGAGGGCACCTATGGGTATTGTGTTCCTGCGCCTCTGCAGGTCTAATTATATATGAGCTAGAAACCAACTTACAGCTACATATTTATACAAAAATGTAGCCTTTGCATTCTCATTTCTGAAGATTTTTTAGTTAATTATTGTTATGTCAATGACATCAGTCTGTCTTTTACAAAATACGGAAATGTATTGCAGCCTCATGACTCCCAGAACAAAGAAAGAAAACATTTGGTATTCCAGCAGAAGAGCATACCCCTAACCACATACATGGGGGTGCTGGAGAGTGAAGAAATGGCAAGTAAGGTAGAAGCCCCCACCTTTAATGCTACCCTTGTTCAGCTGGAGGCAATTTGTGGATGATAAAGGACTTTATGAACCCATAATGTGATTTCCCACCCTTAAAAGAGCTTCTTATGGGGCATCACAGGTTTTCCTCACTAGCTTCCTTTTTCACATTTCTTTAATATCCATTTTAAAGATATCGATTTTAAAGTTTTGACTTTAAAGCAATGCTTACTTAATGTACTGTGTACAATATCCAGTGGCTACATTATTACATGTAAATGAATACTAAACTTAAACTGTTTTAATCATGACCTGAATGTCACCAGTAAAAAAGATCAGAATTAAAGAATTTTTTTGTAATTTTACACCAGTAGTATTGAAAAGAGGGAATTTTTGTGGAGACAAAGACAAAATGAAACATACAATTCCTTGCACCTACACTGAGCACCAGCCCTTCACTTTTCTTTCATCACTTTGGGGAAGACAGCTTCTGGGCTAACGCTTCATCAAAGTGTTTAGTTTCAGCTCCTTTATTCTGTTCAGATGAGCTTTAGATAACTGTGATGTGTTGTGCCCACGTTTATGTGTGCAATGCCAAATCATTTTCCAAGTCATTACTACATATAACTTTCAGCTGATTACAATGGACATGGCTGACTGATACCTGAAGAGCCTGGTAGTACTGGCACAGATTTCCCAAGAGGGCTTCGGAGAAACTATGATTTCCCATATCAGCCATGAAATTTCAAGCTGCATTGTAGAAACTGTGTCAGACCAAGTGAGCTATAACTTTTAAATTTGCAGTTTTTTGTCATTTTTGAAAAGTACAATATAAAGTAAAAAGGAGCCTCGATCTTAACTTATGCCAAGTATCAGCAACTTGATAATGACAAAACTAATGTCAGCTTTCGGTATTTTCTTCTAAAACTTTAAGGTAGGATGCTGACATCTATAGCTTAACTGCTGTCTCTGGAAAGGACGCTATAGAAAACAGCGTGGATTGGTGAATTAATTTAAAAAGAGTGCTAAGTAACACTGAGTTGTATTCCTAGTTCTTCCACTGACTTTGTCATGACCTTGAACCCTACAGGGCAGAATATAATATGTTTTATTGTATGGTATTGAAAGATTAGCATTTCTTATTTAAGATGATAAACTGTAACTTACTCGACCAAAAGGGTAACCTTGAACTAGATTATTCTCTTCATCACCACAGTACTGAATGTGTAGCTTTTTATTTTTACAAGATTTGCAGTGTTTTTCTTTAAAAAGATGCAATCCCTATCCTAAATGGTTCACATTTAAGAATAGTCTTAGAAAATATTGAAGCTGAAAGATCTATAGTACTTCCAAACACACTAACTAAATATCTCAAACTAAGGAGAGGAAGGTGATTTTCAATCCACGTGAAATTTCATAAAAACATACTGTTTTGAAGGCTAATGTGCAGGATCCAGAATATAAGTTGTTCTTTCTTCATCCTCATACCTCATGCATTTGATTTTTTTTTTTCATTTTTAGAAGTGCATAGAAGAAAAACTGCATTTAAATTGAAATAACTTTGTAATTTCAAACTATATGTTGTGTTACCATGTATGTAATAACTGGGTATCTTGTATCACATATGAGGCTTAGTGTGTTCCAAACATTAATACTGACAAATTATCTTTTCCTATCCAGTGGATGATATAACTCTTATATCAGTACATCCTGCAGAAAAGAAGCTGAGGATAGGCGGTATTAATTCTGAAACAGTGAAAAGTCAGTGAATGCACTGCATATAGAATCACTTGAAAAATCAATGGAATGAAAAGTCTATGTAATAAGAATATTTTAAACTAAATGCAGTATATCTTTACCATCCAGTGTTTGAATAAAATTACAGCTTTTACTGTGATATGACCTTAGGCAATGGACACTCCTGGGGAATTAACTTTTTTTGTTGTTTTTTTCTGTTTGTTATCCTTTGCTTGATCCTAACTTGATCCTTAATACAAAGAGCATATAGTAAGAACTAACAGAATAATTCAGTGTTTCACACTCTGGGATACTTCAAGGCCTTCCTGGTAATTTGCAGAAGTACCCATGGAAAGGTGCCGCTGTGCATGGTCTCATCCCATGTGCCAGTCTGCAGAACAAAGAAAGAAGTATCGCTGTATTTAACCCAGAGCCATTCATAATGTTCACTTCTGAATTATTATGGGGACAGATCCTGATTCTTTTCTTACATTTCTCAGTTTTACAGGAGATTCAAAGTTAGCTTCTAGCATGCGCTACGTGGAGACCCAGTCTATGCAGATCGGAGCTTCATATATGATACAGTTCAACTTGGTGATGGGCTGTGGTCAGTCATTTACTCCATATATGGACAACCAGGTGAAACTGGACTACTCCACCAACCATGGTCTCACGTGGCATCTTGTTCAGGAGGTGAGGCTGTCAATGAGGACCTTTGTCTTCCATAAACTCTGCTTATACAAAGATCATCTGAAGTATAGTTGTGGCATTGAACAAAGGAGGATCTTTTCCTCACTCCTCTTTGTATAAAGACATTCTCAACTGGAAATGGTCAAAATTACTAATAGAAGTATCTAAACTGTTTTTTGTGGTATTTGGAAGAAAGGTATCTGAGAGGCTGAAACACAGAATTGTGACAGGAATGGTCCAAGTCTGAGAAAAGAACTGTGGCACAGTTAGACAGGACTATAGAGTAATGGTCAAGATATTTCCTGAGCTATTGCTTTGTTTTTCAAAGCTAAATGCATCTACTGTTTCCTGGCATTTAAATGGATAGGAATTCTTTCTGCTCTTGTGCTCAGCCATTTCGTAAATGGAAAGCGCATTCCTTCAGGGAATTGTAATGTAGAGCCTTTCATCTCCCATCCCTGGTTCAAACACAGTCCAGGGCCATAATGACAGGCTGTTTCCCCATCTCTGCTAGAAGTGCAAATAGCAGTGTTGGCTGCTATTTCCCCGTGTGGCTCAGCCCTGCCTCAGCACAAATGCAAATAGTGCATTTGGCCATAATTTGTGCTTTTGTTTTCCCTCGTAGATGGCAAGTTGGAGTTCCCCTGGCCTCACAGTGAACTAACCAAGGTCCTTCAGCTGACTCCGAGCAGGTTCAGAGGGCATCAGGGAACTTGTCCTGGTGCCGTTTTACTGCCTGCTCTGTAGGTTCACAGAGGGATTTGAACACATCATCTATGAGCAATGAAAGCATTGTCCTGTTGCCTTTTGCCATGTTGTATTTCACCACATTTACTTCTGTGGAGAAATAGCAGTAATTGAATTTTTAAACTTTGCAATGCTTTCTTACCTTACACAGAATTCAGAGGAAAGCTTCAAACACTGTATTTCAAATTTGTGTCTTTAATACCTAGCAGGAATCATCATGGTGTCCAAGAATAGTTCCTAGTGGTACGTATTTGGGGTTTGTCCTTGCTGTCAATGAAAGATCAGTTGCCTTCAGATTTTAGTGTTCCTTTCCTCTCTCAGTGGAGCTGACTTCAGAGGGAAGAGCTTGCAGCCAAATAATTTTTTTCACACCACCCATGTTGCTGTGATAAAGGAGTAATAGAGAAGGCTATTTGTAGTATATTTCAAGGACATAGTCTGGCAAATACACAAAACACTAATTAATTAAAATGTTTGAAAATTTTGTTTTATAAGATCTTTTAGGGCAGATGAATCAATGAAAACTGTTTGAAAAATGCTGGAAAGGAAACTAAGCCTTTAGAAAACCTACTGAAAAAAATGGAACAGAATAAGCTATCAGAACTTAATCTAATACTCTAAGATATTCGAGGAATAGATTTCTCTGTACCGTGATATATTCTGCCCTTCTTCATATTTAATGTATAACAATTACTACATATTTTAACTATATACATATTCTTAATTGCCTTAACTACTGTAAAGTATCACTGCTTTATTATTAATTTCATAGCAGTCAAAGCAGGCAACTTTCATAGGCAAGTGTCTGTCCCAAAGATCTCTCTTGTGCCTGACACCCCAGATGGAGATGAACACAGCAGTGAATAGCAAAAGGCTCTCAGAGAGGTGGAGATGGTCAGGAGGAGCTGTGCTGTGGCAATAGTGCAAGAAGGGACTCTGAATGGGTAGCTAGAAAAAGAAACATAGAAACAAAAAAAAAACCCAAAGAAAACAAAATCTGAGCAACAGACCTGTCTAGGAATCTGAGCTAAATACAGGAATAATCATAGAAGCAGGAAGTGGGAATTTACACCATCCTTGGTGCCATCTCAAGGCATATCAAG